TAATTTCGATACATTTTGATATTATATATATATTTTGAATATTTAATAATCAGGGAATAAGTTATTCGAAGAGTATAACTTAAGCATGTACAATGATGTCATCAGCGAGGTATCAATGCGCTATGTCAATTGATTATGCACTTTGTATTTTCAATTGGAAATTATTTTTCTGAAGTTTTATGAAATTTTTGCGCATTGATGACTAGAATGTTCGTAGAATTGCGACAAATGTTGGCGCATTGTCATCTTTCATCGACTGATCATATTTCACAAAATGAATCATAGTCATTTATATTTTGAGCACCGACTGTGTAGCATACTTATAATACGTATAGGTGTTTTCGATAAGCATCATTGTTTTTGAGATTGATCTTTATAATCTCAATTATTTTTGTTTCATTTTTTAGAAGTATTATGATTTATTTAATAAAATCGTTCTATTTTTTATTTAACACGAATTTCATAATTTGATATATTTAATAGTTTCTTTAATCTTTAGTAAGCAATATTGAAGATTTGTAAAAATTCAAAGACTATTTGAAAATAAAAAGATAAAAAGATAACCAAATTAAAAACAATTTTATTACTAAATGATTAAATAATACAATAATATATTTTATCATCGAAACTTTAAAACGATTTTTTAAAATTATTTTTTACATTATTTTTCTTTTACCGTATGAATTGATAATATTTCTAAATTTTTCTAATAATATTTTGTAAAATAATAAAAATTAAATTAAATTTATGTATTATTATTGAATAATTTTTAAAAAATAATCATTCTTTTAAAAATACCGAATAATGTGAAAAATACTATCAACAATTATAAAAAATATTTTTCTTGCAATTATCTTTTTGAAAAAATTATGAACAACTCAATTAAACGATATAATTGCGCGATTGAGTTATATTAATATTAAGTTATAATAACTTGACGGATCGTCGAACAAGAAATATAAAAAAACCAATAATGATCTTGAATAATGTGTGAATAATAAGTTAATACAAAAACAGATTAATAACAACAAAACGAATCCTTGCCATTATGATATTTTCCTGTTTTTGCGGTTTATATATATTTTTTTTTTTTACCATTTACATATCGGATAATAATCGCATTATTTATTATTTAAAAACTGAATGTACGTATATGTTTTAAAGAAATGTGAAAATGGCAAGTTCATAATTAATAAAATGGATTCTGAGGTCAAACGACTTGATTGATATATGAAACTTATTGTTTCTTATTCTCAAGAGTTATCTCTGTAATAAAATCTGAAGAGTTCAAAAATAATGTCTTGTCTAATTGCTAACAGGAATTAAATCTAAATATATCTTATTCTTCTTACAAGTCAAATGAAGCTTGCATTATTACGATGAGTATAAATCAGATTTGATTTTGCATTAATATAAGTTTCGAGAATAAACAATCTATGATAAAAGAATTTATTTTATTTTTGATAAAAGTAGAGGTTTAATTGATTTATCAATTGAAAGTTTTATAATAAAGTTTTCGAACTTCATTTTCATTAAAAGTCATTTTCAGACAAAAATTGATTTAGTTTATGGCTCAGACTATAGATTAAAGTAAAAAAAAAAAAAACAAAATGTAAAATAAATTTAAATAAATAATATTAATATTTAAATAAATAATTATTTTAAAAAATTATACGTAAAATTTTGAATATATATGAAATGTCATTTTTCAAAATATAATATTATTAAAATTTTAATTAGTATTCGGTCGTTAAACAAAAAAAAAATTGCTTCAATATATGTGCATTAAATATTAAAAAAATGTTAGAATAATCAATCACGTTTTATTTTTTGATAATTTTTATGAACCATTGGGATATTCATATCTTTTTATGTATTTAGAAAATAATGCAAAAGTTACTAAAAATATGAATATATTTAAAATGTGAAAGTTCATAATTATTTGAAGAAACTAATGTAAATGTTAAAATAGTAAAATGTTGATTTGTAGAAATCAAAAACAATGATCTTTCATTGAATATTGAATTCATTGAAAAATAAATTAATAGATTGGAAAATTCCACGATTGTAAAATAATTAATAAGAAAGTATGGAAGAGATTAATATTCAATGAGAAACTAAGCTATTCTAGAATTATTCATTATTTATTATACAATTGTATAGGATTAGACAATAAGAATAATTTCATGAAATAATGTTGTGCTATTTATTGAATTTATCAAAAAATGTTTCAAATGAAATTTATTGAATTAGAGAAAAACATAACATTTAAAAATATCAAGGTGACTAACTTTTGTTTTTAATACTTATATAGATATTTTTTTTAGTACTGCGTTGTAGCTATTTGAAAGTCGAATTCAATGACCTATAATAAGAAGAATAATTTCTAGGCATTCGTCATGAACTAACATATTTATTTTTTTCACATTTCTGTTCACATTAATACATTATTCTATATTACAGATTCAGAATTACCAGAATGATAAATTATTATGAATCTAATTAAACATAATCTACGCAGCAGATATGTATGTTGATATAGAAGCAATTTGCTTACTACTTACATTATTTGAAAGGAAAATGAAAAGAATTACAAAGTTACTTTTCATAAATTATCGTTTCATTTTGAAATTTAAGGTCAATACAAAGTTATAGGTCGTTGAATTCGTCTTTTTTGATGGCTACAACGCAGTATCGTAAAGAATATATGATGTCATTAAAAAAAATTCAAAGTTATTTCTAAAAATAAAATAAACAATTAGAATGTTATTATTTGATGAATATTTGAAATTTTATTTGAAATATTTTTTGATGAAGTCAAAATAAATAACAAATTATTTTAAATGATTATTTTTATTTATTCTGAATTCATTCGGTAATATAGCATATTAATATATTAGAACATAATTAAATGATTGAGTCTAGAGAATAAAAAAAACATAAAAGTTGATATACAAAAATAATTGAAATTTATTTATTAAATTGTAACCAATTTAAGTTAAATAAAGAGATTAGATGTTTCTTTATCTAATGCAAATTTAAATTGTTTATAATTTAATAAATAAATTTTAATTTTTGTATTATATAATATCAATTTTGTCTTTGTTTTGGCTTTTAAAATCAATTTTTCAAAGATATTCCACGAATACATGTATTCTGCATAGAAAATATGAAGAACATTAATAATAGATTCTTCATCGATGTAATTCAAACTAAATGAAAATAATTATCTTATTAGTTAATGAAATAAACAGGATTCTTCCATTCCTTCAATTTTATATTTGTAAATTATTACTTCTTATTATTTCTACATTGCCAAAGAAAGTTTATAATTTAGAATTTGTCATTTATCATCTCACTAATATTATTAGATATTATATATAGATATTATATATAGATTATTAGATTAGAAAATAATATAAAATTTTTGAAATATTAGTTATCAAATAATTATTAAAGAAAATTTAAAAATAAAACTACGCAATTTCGATACATGTAAAAAAATATTGTTCTTCTGTGATTAAATTTATGAATATTAATTTATCTGTTGCATTATGAATCTTCATTCATAGTTAAAAATTATTAATTATAAGAAGAACATATCACGAATATCTACATAAATAAGTAAATAATATAGAAATATTTTTACGTTAAGAAATATTTAAAAATAAAACTATGCGATTCTTATATATAATGAAATATTGTTTTTATTCGATTTTACAAATTCGATTACAAATATATATTTATATATATTCAATTATCGTATGTATCAAAAAATATTTTTGAAAAATATTTTTATGATTATCAAACTTGTTCAATTCAACATTTGGTGCAAGAAAACGAGACTGCTTTAAACGAACGGTTGTCTCTCCTAATTATACCGGTCACTAGACCACAGATAGTACACTCGGTATCTGCGTCATATTATTAGCGGCACTGCGTACCACTCACACGCACACGTTCGCAAGCGTATTTTTGGTAAGTCAGTGCTAAATATCTTGATTCGCAATGTGCGCGATCTGTTATTTGTACGCTTGCTATCAACAATAGTGTGTTTAAGGGATTGCTGTCTTAAATTGAAGCAATATTGATGAAAACATTGATATCTGTATAGATAAATGTTCAAATTTAAAAAAAAATAAAAATAAAAATAAAAATAAAAATAAAAATAAAAATAAAAATAAAAAGTTAGTTCTCACGTAAATCAATTTTTCTTTAGTCTATTTTATTTCTGAGATTGCTTATGATCATTTTATTGGTAATCATATTGATCGAACGAGGTAATCATTGATTGGACATTTCAAAAAAATTTTTGAGAGTCAATCATTCGAGATAGATAATTGGCGTACTGTCCAAATGTTGTGTTGGCGTTTGCCTCTTTCCTCCATCGTGAGTTTCGTCGCATTTATTTTTAAGCCGAATTCGACGTAGAATTTGCTAAAAATGTTTCCTGTGAAAAATTACGTTGTGCAGATTTGCTTGTTGGGTATACACGTGTGTGTATACATGTATATTGTTTTTCTAGGTGATTTTGAGAACGTGTGAAATTGACCATAGCGTTGAAATTAATTAATTAATCGATTGATATTGTATGTTTAAATGTATTTATTGTTTAACTCGAACGCAAATGTTTCCATATATGCTTTTAAAAATTCTATATTTACAATCGCACCGGACATTCGGTCAATAACAATAAAGAAATCAATTCGGCATTTACTTTATGATTACAAGAATATAATTTGTTCAATAGTCTTTTTTTTATTTACTATAGTTAAATTATACTAAAATATATTTATAATATATTTTTAACAAATTAATCAATTATATTTCGAAACAAAATATAGGTATATGTATTAAATCAATATTTAACTCGCATACTTATGTATATAATATATTAATAATGAATTATTTTATTATATTACTTTATTATTGCAGTAGATATTGCAGTAGATATTAAAATGAAAGAAATTCTGTAAAAAGGATTGAATATACTAAAAAAATATATCATATTCAACAAGAATTTGTTATAATTGTTAATGGCTTTTTATCAATTAACGTAAAAATGAATGATAATGTGTTAAAAATCTTTTGAAAAAAATATGTCAATCAAGAGCAAAGACATCGTTATCAAAACTCCATTTAGCCGAATTATCGTTAAAACGATTTTCATACGGATTAATCAACATTACGTTGCAATTTTGCAATTTTTCTTTCAATATTTTGATAACGCCATTCTTGTTTTCGTATTCGTCCCATAGCGAAATCGAAACGTTCCTTCTTGCCGCCACGCACGTCACGCCGCGTCCACTGACTTTCATACAGATGCGCTGACAGAATTCGACTGTTGCTTGGCAAGTGCGCATGCGCATAACTCGCCGTGCCACGAGTGCAATGATACATTCGCCGCGTTAGTGCAATGCAAGAGAATGACGTCAGATCTGAACGATTAGTCTGTCAGTGGTTCTCCGTTTTGTTGATACTCCGTCTGGAGCGAAAGGTTAACGCGCAAAAACCATCTTGACTGTTTTTGCTTCAAGAACATGACTAGACGATACTTCCCGCTGGTAGTCAGATCGCAAATGTTTAAAATACATCGTGCAAATGGTATTTTATATTTTTCTCGTGGATTTTCGGATATTTATTTCATTTGAAAATTCGTTATTGATTAATTAAATTTAAAGAATAATTAAATTCGAAAATATAACATAAAATAATAGTTGATTCAAAAATATATTTATGGCAATATTTTGATAAAAATTGGATAAAGATTTGTAAGAATTGAAAATAGATTTTGAAAAACATATGCAGACTCGTTTGTTTGGGTTGGATTGTGTTTTTTTTGCAATTAAGCTTTATAGCTTTGTCGGTGAATCTTTCTTATTTTGTTCAAAAAATTGGATAAAAGTTTTCGACAAACGGTGTCTGTATATTTTGACGGAGGTATCGGAATACGCGATTAATCGAAATTTTATTCTTCGAATATCGGAACGCAAAAACGCATAGTATATTCGAAGAAATCGTGCGCAGTTTTAAATAAAGACAGCGACACGTTTACAGCGTCGAATACAAAACTGATTGAATTTTTTTGACGTATCTCAGTTACACGTTGTATTGTACTTATCTTCATGCAGTATATCTGTAGAATTTCGAAAACTCTTTTGTGTAGTTAGTCGGTTTCTTTTCCTTGTAAAAAGTGGATTTCCATAGCAAAACATTTTTGCACATTTATCGATTTCTTTTTAACACGATCTTGGTCGAATAAATATAAAATAAATTTATATATATTAAAATTATATAATAAATAATAATAATTATAAAATAAATTTATTATATATTATTTTAAAAATGAGCTACTTTCATAACATTTCAACTGTTAAATTAAAATTTTATCGAATCATTTTTATATTTGGAATAGAATCGTTAAATCTTTTAATTTCATTCTTTCCTTTTTTATTTCAGCGAGCCCACCAATTTTTCTGATAAAATTCATCCGGTGATGATGAAACATAGAAATTTGGATCAATCATGAAACGTCATTGCAACGTCGATAATAATTATCCACGGTCGTTCACATACGCAAAATTTGTTTCTACGAGAGTGAAGGGGAAAGAGAAAAAGAAAGAGAGAGGAAATAGAGGGAGATAGAAGGAGAGAGAGAATGGAGGGTAGGAAGAGAGAGATAGGAGGCTACTGCAACGTGATGAGATGTTTTTTTTCGCATGGATTCTTCAACGTTCAATGAAAACTGGATTAATTTATACGTTATATTATGGCGATATGATTTCCACGACGTGGTGGAATATTCGTTTCATCGATAATCGATGTGCTTTTAATCGCGGCTAGATCTTTCGTATTGCATGCGCATTATTAGCTGATTTGCTGGATATAAGAAACGATCATATTCATTGCTAATACATATCGATGAGATTTGCAAATTCAAATTAATCAGAATTATTTACCTAATATCGGAACTCTGCGGAAAATAACGCTGGTTTTACATCGACATTGAATTAAATCATTACATACTACGATATGATAATATATAACATGATATGTTGATAACGATTGATTACAATTATGTATATTAACTTTCTCTTTCTCTCTTTCTCGTTTTTGCTCTTTCTCTGTTTTATTTTTTTTCTTTACTTTCATAATGTTAGTGTCGATATAATCAGCGGAATGATTTACGGCTTTTTAATAAGTTCAAGTAAAAACTCGTGAAATTCTAGTGAAATCTATCGTGCTCGATATTTGCGTTCTCGACTTTTGTCACGATAATAAAATGAATAAAACTCAGACTACGATACATATGATACATATTTGTGTCGACAAACAGAGAGAGCAATTTTCATATGCTTATTTTTTCGAAATTCAAATCGTTACAAATAAAAAAGAACTTATTTTTTTTTAAATGGAAGATAAAACAAAATCAATATATTAAAATGCACTTATTCGATGAACATAATATCATTAATTATTATTTAAATTAAGAAAACAACAAATTTCAAATTTCACGATTTTATTATTTATTTATAATGATTTAAGATTAATCTATTTAAATAGCTAAAAAATTTAAAAATGTAAAAAAAGTCATGTTAATTTGTACTTATTCAATTTAATATATATTTTAAATAAAAAAATAAATATATTTCGTAGCCAACTATTTATTTTTTTAATGAATAACAATGCCGAAATTGCGATTTAAGATCAAAAGCGAAAAATCCCTTTGGAGAAAAAAAATTATCGCGACGCTAGAGATTTCGCAATAATATTTTGCATTGATATGAATAAATACATAACAATCAAGTATTATAAATACTTTTTATTGTTATAAATCTGCGAAATATTTTGCATCTCTACGAATTTTAAGATGTTATGCTACAATAGTTATGAATATTATAACTTTTTCGTAATAAATTTTATTTTGATTGTAATAATAATGTATTAATTTAATGTAATAATTTTCGATAAAAATTCAAGTTCATGGTAAAATCAAGATTTAAGAAACAAAGAAACAAGATTTAAACAAAATTTTTCATTCAAATTTTTTTACAACATTATTTAAGAAATTTTATATGAAAATTTTATAATATTGCAATTATTTTTTAATTTTTAATCTTTAATCTCTATTATTATTTTTTAATTATTTTATTATGTATATTTTATTTAATTATTTTTAATTATAAAAATGTAAATATAAAGATGTAATTTATATTGATTTATATTAAAAATAATAATAAATAAAAATTTATTAATTTTTTACATTTTGATCATTATATGCATATATATACAATTTTCTATTTATGATAATAATTTATGAAATGAATGATTTTATCGATTTCAATGGCCTTGAGATATGGTTAAAGTCAGCGTTCTAAAAATAAAATTAATTTTGTTTATATGTACATATATACATATGTATTATTGCTGCTTGCTACTATTTTTGAAGATATGCTTTGTAAATTGTCATAAATAATTATCATATTCCGTAAACATGTATATGTTCATTCTAATTTGTGTATTGTATATTTTTGGAAATTTTTACATTAAAGATAAAAGTTGATTGCATACTTTACAAAATATTTTTGCAGAATAAAAAAAAAATATAGTAAAAATAGAAGTGAAAATAGTGAAAATAATTAGTTTCTTGACTTGCAATTTCTTATAAAAATTTTAAAGAAAGAAATAAAAAAAAGAAAAACGTTTTTGTTCATTTGAATTTAAATATAATAAATGTGCGTTAATCTTAGTTAAATAAAATGCATGCGTTTAACTTCAAACAAAAGTTTCGTTCAGATAATAGTATCAGTTTCGTTCAGTGAATAGGATTTTCTCAGAATTTCTTTCTGTCAAGAACTATACTGTTTTAATCCTTTCAATGTTTAACATGTTGTCTAGGAATAGTCGAGCAACATACGAATGGAAAGATGTCGAGACATTTTAACAGTTCTTCCATTGTTTGCAACAGACAAGTCTAACAAGTCGAATTTTGCTCGTCGCGTGTACTTTGCCCGTTCTTTTTTGAGAGGTGACGCTCCTCTCTATCCTCGAATGACGAATTCGTTTTAGAATTCTTCACTGGTTTTTCCGTTGTGTTTTCCTCTCGATTCTTTTATCCTGTTTCGAAAATGTCACATGTTCGTTTTGTTTATCAATTTGTTAATGTTATTTCTCAAACATACATATCAATCATAAAAATAACAAAGACATGTTGCCAGGTAGTCCTTCCTTTATGAACGTAGCATGTAAAAATAATTGCGTAAAATAGTATGTTAGAATCTATGTGACAATCGATTGTCGCAGTGTTGAACGAAAATTATTTTGAATAACGAATAGAATATTATGAATAAATTAGATTTCATGAATAATGGATAAATCATTTTTGTATGTTTTCCTTTTTTCCTTTCTTTTTTTCTTATCTATGATTAATAAACTCATCACATTCACTAATAAATAAATTCCTATAATTGTGCTAGCTAATCTCATATTGTTACAAAAAAAAATAATCAAATATAGATAATCTTTTGTGTTCATTATTTTCTTTCTACTTTCAATCGCATAACAATGATATAAAATCGATTCATCATAGTTGTTAATTTATCGTAATTAATAAGAAACGAATGTAATTTTATCCTTACTCGAATAAATTTTATGAATAATGCTTAATATTGCAGTCAAATGTGAAGCCTCATCCAAATTGTACTTAAAAATATGAAAAAATTATTATCTGTCTGTTTCGTTAATGATTCCATTAATGTTGTTTCTTAAAAACATGTTATTGGTATATAAATAACAACAAGGTAGTCAAGGAATGCAAGAAAAAATATTACTCTCATTTTTTTCGTTAATTTAACATATCCGGTTCTGCAAATCAGATCAAAATAAGAGGTTTAACTTCTGAATCGAAATGATACATTTTTATGAAACAGAACGATTTCACTAATTCGATTTGTTAATTCGTTCGATGATTTTAAAAATTGAATATCAAATGAATTGCGATTTATTAAAATGAATATATTAATATAAAGAATATAGAATGATAAGAATAGGTAGAGACTGATTTTAGTTACAAAATTGAAAAAAGAATAAAATTTTTTGTTTAAAATTTCATTTCTAAATAAATCAAGTTTAAAAATGTTTCAAATGAATTTAATTGATTCTCAAATGGATATATGTAAATGAATTATTGGTAGGAGATTATTCTACAAAGTGTTAATATATTCGTAAAATAACTTTGAAGGATCAATTTCAGAGGTCAAAATAAATACAAAAATTGACATACAAAAATGATTGAAACTTATTTATTAAGTTATAACCAATTTAAATTTAATAAATTTAAATAAAGCGATAGAAGAGATAGAATGAAACAGCGTAGCGGTGTAATGAAGCTGTCTCATTTTATCTATATCTTGCTTTGTGAAATGCGAAATGTATATAATCTAATAAATAAATTTCAACCAATTGAATATATATTTTTATACAAATATTTTTACTAAATTTTTTATACCAAATTTTCAATTTATTTTAATCTCTTTTGAAAATTAATTTTCAAAAGTATAGTTAAGAATAATACAAAATCAAATTTGAAAATTCATCGAATTTATTATTTAATTAATTTTTGACAGTAATATTTTAAATTAATTTTAATTAATTTTATTAAATTAATTTTCATATTTATTTTAAAAAAAATTAAGCGATAAAATTTTAATTATTAATTTTAATTATTAAATTTTAATTATATCTGTACTTTTAATTATTTTTATATACAGAATAACTTTTTATCAATAATTTAATCATCTAATCTAAATGACAATTAGCTAATTTTATTTATATTTAAAAATTATTCAAATTTAATTTACTTAAAAATAAAATCTTAAACCTAATAATTCTTTCTTTTTTTTTCAATACTTTTAAAAATACTTTTATACGAGTAAAATGGTTCTATTTTTATGATATTTTATTTCTATTTCAATTCATTTAGTGTGTAAGTGTGTAAATAATAAAATTAAATTACTTATAATTTGAAAAATAAACTTCAATATATATTTTTGTATTATATTAATTTACTAGTTTGTTTTATGTTTGTTTATTTCTACATCTTAATTACGTCTTAAATTTTCTACCTATTTCAAACATTTTATTCAACACGCAATAAAACTAATACTGAGTATGATACTTATATTGCATTTTAATATTTCACTAGACTTTTATCTTTTTGTATGTCACAAATTGCTCTATAACATTTGTAAAATTTCATTTATTTTACTATAATAAAATTTTCGAGAGAGATTTCCATAATTCACTCTTAAACATTTATACTTTAAGAATAGATATCTTATAACTTGCAAAATTTTATTAACAATGTTAATTATTAAATATTTTATTTACGCTTATATTTAAATATTTTCATTATACTTACATATACAATAATATATTCTATGAAATATGTACGTACTTACATTTATATATACATATATGCATAGTCATTCGAGATATTATCAATGTGGTCTAAACAGATGATCAAAGTGCAGTTTTAATTACGTGAATTATAGTTCCGTCAACATTGTATCATGCGCATTTACAGCGACCGATATTATGCTGTGTATACGTGAAGCTTCATTCACTATTTATCGTTTCTTCCGTTTATATTTTTCTTATTTTAATTGGAATAATAATTTTTTTCATATATTTTTTCTAGCTCTTTTTACAAAAATTCGATATAATTCGATATAAATGTTACAAAGGATGTTATTATATCTAATATTTTCAATCTGTGAGTCAAAAAAATAAATTTCTATGGTGAATATTCAATATATAATATCTAATACGTAAATTCGTTGAAAAATTGTTAAAAAAATCGGTGTAAATATAAATATAATTTTATAAGGAACGAGTTAAGAATATGCATCGTATCTGTTTTTGCGGCTGAGAGACCTTCGGAAATGTTTTACACTTGAAGATGGTTCATTTTATTGCCTCCTTGTGATTGATGTCATTTTATTAGTTGCATTTCTGTTGTCGTCCACTTTTCGATAAGAGCGAAAGAGCATGACATAGATTGAAAAGGACAGAAATTCTTGTTTTTGTGTACAGAACATATATATCAAATTTCGGATGTCAGCGCTAATTTCCCTTGAGATCATGTAGCATAAAAGTTGCATCCATATAGAAGGATGCATATAATGTGTCTAAAAATTAGGATACTATGTCGATATTCGTTTCATCGAGTTTTCTTTTCCCTGTGGCTTTTATCAATCTGTTAATTAACAAGCGTAATAATAATCAGAATACAATTTTGTCGACTCGCTGACCAATGAGTTTATTAAAATTTTCAATCGATTTAACAAGTTGTACTCATTGTCTATTTATATTGTTAAATATAATTATAATTTA